ACATGAGCTGAAATATGTGGGTCCGGTTTGACTGATGGGCCTGCGCTGGAGGTTGGATTGCAGGCGAGGTTAGGCAAAGCAAGGCAGAGTAGAGATCGGAAGTGAAGCCTTGGGATGCTCGGTCCCAGCTGTTCTGTGGCGTGGGTGACTGTCCTGCTCTGGGAGGAGGACTGAAAGCAAAGCAGCAGGCTCTGCCTGAAGGACTAAGGCTTACACCTTTTGACGGCTTGAAAGTCAAGTGCTGCCTGTGAACCCCCAGGTTGTTCGAGGGAGCCAACAATTAGCTTGGCGCCCAGAGGGCTGTCGTTTATCCCTCTTCATGGTTGACATCTGGTGGAGTCATTTGATTCACATCAAACTCTGTGACCAATGATGCTGGGTACGATTTATTTGGCTCTTAAACAATACCAGTGCACTGGTGTCCCTCCCCGCCCCTTCCAGAAGGAGGGGTCATGTTAGCTACAGGGATAAGCAGAAGGTGCCATGTCCCCAGAGCTTCCCCCAGCAGCCTGGGTCTTCCCTGCTGTTCTGTCAGCCATCCTCCTCCTTCCGGGTGGTGCTGGTGATTCTGAGGTTCAGGGTATGTGATGGGCTGAGCTCCCTGAGGATGGGGTTTTGATGGGTGGGCAGGTTCAAGCCTTCCTTTTTTGATCCATATATCATTCATCTGGCCCAAGACCATGGCACCAGGCCAAGCTGGTGAAGGCAAATTTCATTTATGAAAGTGCCAAGTAACTTAAACACAATTTTATACAAAAGGAAGGTAAAGAGTCACTTTCTCCCTCCCTCGGACGAAGGGGAGATGGATAGGAATGGCTTCCTCCTTTGCAAATCCCACAGACAACTTCCTTTTGTTAATAGGCCTATTATGCCAAGTGCAGATACACCTCCCCATACAGACATTCTCCTTGCAGACTGGGCATAAAAAACCCACTCTGGGGAAGGAAAGGTGTCTTGTGTCAGCACAGAATCTTAGCCAGGCCTTGGAGCCAACGGGCCCCCTTGGTTGTGTGAAA